TACGCACCTACATTGTAACTAGGATTACGGCAAATCGACCCGGCTATTAGCCGCGGCCACTTTGCGCAACATTTTGGGCACTAAAACATTGGCCGATATTTTAAGCGAAAGGGAAAACATTAGTACAGGTGTTCGTCGACTGTTAGACAGCGCCACCAAATCATGGGGTAGGTATCCAGGCGATAATTGTCTACACTTAGCATGTATTAAATGATACATTATTTTGTACAGGTGTAAATGTGGAAAGGGTTGAATTGTAAGCAATATGCGCAACTGGTCCAGTACAATTATTTATCTAATAAAATTTGAATCATTGAGTAGAAAAGACGTGAGATTGCCGGCTAACCTACAGAGAAGTATGGCTGCCGAGGCTGAGGCCGGTAGGGAAGCCAAGGCTAAGGTATGGAGTGGGCAATTGTCGCGTATTTTTTATTTAAGTACTCATTTTAATTTAAATAACAATATGTGGTCATTTCATTTTGTACGACCACTGCCCATGCATTCAGTTATAATTAGCCATAAATATAAATGAATGCTTTGGCAGTGATTGTATGCAATTATATGATCAGATTGTGGCCGCGGAGGGCGAACAGAAAGCCTCGTTTGCATTGCGCGACGCGTCCGATATACTCAACTCAGACCCCACGGCACTGCAGCTCCGGTACCTCCAGACGCTCACCAATAACGCCGCCGAAAGGGAGTCAACCATTTTGTTCCCGATCCCCATTGACATGTTCGAGTGCTTTGGCCAGTCGTTGCAGCCGTTCGAGAAAGCATAATCCAGTACAATTTGGTGATGATGATATTATCAGTATGCTCACGCGATATTACCATGATACCTCTTTAAGAGTTTAGTTTCTCATAATAACTCATTATTATAAATATTATGAAAATTAAATTTCATTATTGAATTGTATTTTGTTTGCTAAGTGTTCATATGAAAAATATATCGACAAGTTACCTTGTATAAATGTGTGCAATTATAAATTGTCCATAGACTTGTGTTTTTCTTATTTAATATTTAATTTCCACACATAAGGACTTGTATTATAAGTTACAAATAAAATTATAATATTTTATGCAAATTCTAATCTGATTTTAAGTATGCAAAGTAAAAGTATGCAAAATACGTTTAATAGCGACACCAATAGTTATCAAATAAAATTTGTTTATTGAATTTTATATATTTCTTATACAGTATATTACTGTAATACACGTAACAATTATTTTCCGGCAATATTTCATTAAATTTATTTAAAACACCCAAATTTATTGCAAAATATGAGTTCTTACAGCATATACACCCATCTCTATGAGTTTGATGACTTCCCATAAAAAGCAATGATAAGTGCTATCAAAGTGTATGAAGTGAATGAAAAACTATAATTGTGATCATATGTTTGGTCATTGAACTAAAGATTTTGTTACAATGTCTTTAATAATCACCTTATTTTATTTCTTACTTTAAAAAAGGTTTTATTGAAAATACTTTTATTGTCATAAAATAGGAAATATTTTGAAAAATGTTTTGCTTTAATATAATTTTTTATATAAAATTATAAGGACTTAACTTTTAAAAGGAAATAAAAATGTTTTATTTTGTGAGTTACTTATTAGGGAGAGAGTATAAGAGAGTAAAAGAGAGAGAGAGAGAGAGAGAGAGAGAGCACAAGTGTAACGAAATAAATGTCAAATAAAATTATTAAAATAAATAGATTAGAAAATTACTGTATATTACTTATCAGAGTAAAAGTCTATAACTTATAGAAATACCGGTTGCATACATGTATTTTTATTTTTAAAAATTAAGAAGATTATATTAACAACTTTAAGATTTTTTAAATGATAGAGACGTATGACATTAAATCTATTAAATTAAAGTAGTATCTATTAAATTATACTTTAATACATAAGAAAATAATTTTTTGTTAACAATCTAAGTTAACTAAAAACTTTACAGCAAAATTGCCTTACCAGAAAACCAATTACCTTAAAATGTTTTCATATTAGACATAAACAATGGGATAGAAATTTGAGGTCAATTCGCGGGTTTAAGTCAAACAAATTAGTTATGGTTATTGTAAATCCAATTCCAATGACTACCGCTTTATAACACTTCAATACACTCTCAATACATATAAATTGAACGCCAATTGAGAGTTACCTGTGCTCTCATTTACGTTAATCATCGCTGACTGTATAGGTATGTATATATTAATATTAAAACGCGAATGAATAATGTTTTGCTTATCAAATAACCCTGTTTCTCTGATATTCCACACTCACTCTCACTCTCAATGCCCTAATCTGTATTTCCACACCGGTTAAGGTCAGGTCTCGCGCGATGTGGCATTTCCTTACAGCACAACCTAACCTCTCGTTTGCCTCATTTATGTAATAAATTGTGTATTGAATGCAAAAGTGGAAGTGAATTGAATTGGATGGAGAAAACGGTCACTTCTATCGCACTCACAGACAGACACACATAATAATGATACGATAATTACATTATTCACCAATAGATATACCGCGCATACCTCATGGAGTACGTACGATGCGATATTTGACTATTGTTTGTAAAATACTCTCAAAAACTATTTTCATTTTAAATATTGTCGAAAAATAAAATATTAAATATAACAATCATTAACTGTCATACGCTGTATATTATGCGCTACGGCATTATGAATGTATTCACGGTTTTTGAGAAAATATAAAATCGATTGATTAACTTATAGACAATAGCTGTGTTATATTATTACAAAACAATACCTGATCATTAGATATGACTTCATTTTACATTGGTTAGTGAATGCCCTGATGTGAATCTTATATTTTACTAATTATTTACGTGAACTACTCTTGTTTTCAATATATAACGAGATTATTTGTGTTAAAATAATGTTCATGTTGTTTAAGATACCAATTCATAATGTAAAGCTAATGTAATGGATACCTATTATAAGATATAGATCTTATGCCATTTACAATTATTGGATAATATACTTAAATACACCTTAATATGCGGACTAATAGGGCTAGTATTGAAGCTTTCACACAAAGTAAGTTATGTTTTCATGATATTTATAACTAAATATGTTATTTTTGATTTAAATTTCATTTTATGAGTATGATATGTATTCCCTATTTTACTAAAAAATCTCTATTCAATTATTTTATATTAGAAAATAAATATTTTATAGTTTAAAATTTATATTTAATTTAGCTTAAGAAAATTGTTGTCATTTTAAAAAATCAATAAAATAATAATTAGGTGTAAAATTTATTTATATATTATTCATTAGCTGATGGACTTAAAACTCCTATATTTATAGACAATAAGAGATTTAGAAAATCGTTTTTTGTTCAGTACCATTTTGTATAAACTAAATATCATAAGTTAAAAACCTTCATAACAATTTTACTAATAGCATTCAAACTAAATATTTAATAGATATAAACACTTTTTATAACACATAAAGTGAAACATTTTTGTTTATTTAAATGATAGGTGAAAATGAAGACACAAATCATGGGATTGTAGGGACAGTCATACTCATTGTGTCACTCCTATGTATAGCTTGTACTATGCCATTAAGCCTATTTATTTGTATAAAGGTAAGTATTTTTAATTTTAAATAACTTGTAAGAATACCATTATTATAATTTAGTTTAAAACATTATTTTAATAGTTAATAAATTATTACCTTATAAATAATAATAGTTTATAAACTCAATCGTTACTATAATTTAGAAATCTTTTTATTAAAATGAATGCCATTAGAGTTGTCGACATATTTTATTAGTATTATTATTATTATTAAATTGAATTGTATTTGTATGACTGCATATAATTTATAAAATACAATGCAAAATGTGTCTTACAATGAAATTATTATTTGGTGTAAAATATATTTAATTTTATAATTTTCATTCAAATATAGTGAATACAAGTATGAGTTTAAAAATACCAAATACCTGTATTAGTAAATAAATTATACAATATTTATAATTTATAAGTTATAAATATAATAAGTTTAGAATTGAATTATTTTATTGATCGTTATTTGAAGTTAGTTATAATTTTATTAATACTGCAAGATATTTTATAATATCATATAAAATATTTCATAAATCATGAATTTGATATAAATTTAATTTTTGTAATTTAAGTTTATAAATATTAGGATTGCATTGTATAAGCCTAGAATTGTTGACAATACAGGTACATAATTTATATTGTCTATATATAGTCTGACAAAAATGTTATTTTTGTGTAAGTGGATAACGTTATACCTGTTAACAAACACAGATACATGTTGTAATACCCTGATAAATTCACGCTTGATGGGTTATATGTTTTGTTTATTTCATTCATATTTTCAAACTTTAAAGAGCAATAAATTGTAATAGCGGTAATTTTTAAAAATAACATAAATATACTTAAAATGTTCACTTATTTTACTTTAAAGTAAATAGCAATTCTAAGTTTTTGGAAAAATAAGTTTATATACAGTACTAAATTAAGTATATAATTTAAATACAATAAACATTAATGTTATGATGTTTATACTTACAATATTTGAATTATACCTATTGTCTGGCTAATAGGCATTAAATTAAATTGTCTGAAGGGAACCTATAATTCTTTGTATGGTATTATTTATTTACATTTAACTAAAATTAAGGAAATAATAAAAATGATATTATCTAAGTATTATTTAACGAAATTTTATATCAAAAACAGTAATTGAAGAAAGTATAATTAAAAATGATACAGTACAAATATCTAATGTAAATTTTACTTCTAAGAAAGTTACTTTAAATATGGATATAACTTATTTTTATGTAAATAAGAATATTCTAGTAAGAATTATTTATTGCAAACTGTGTATTATTCAAGTGAATTGGATTTCAAAAGACTTAATAAATCTAAAAGCAAATGAAATATAAAAAATTAAATTTAAGATATTAATAGCTTAATTACAATTTAAAGTATTGTATGTGATTGATTAGTTGTGTGATAGGTTATAATGCAAAACTGCAATTAATTAACACTGTAACTTTATGAGTATTAATACATTATCATTAAAATAATATTTAAAACTACAGTATATTCTAAATTTATATTGTACTTAAATATGTTCATGATTGATTATAAATATTTAACTGCAATTAATTAACACTGTAACTTTATGAGTATTAATACATTATCATTAAAATAATATTTAAAACTACAGTATATTCTAAATTTATATTGTACTTAAATATGTTCATGATTGATTATAAATATTTTGAAATAGTAAAAATCAATAAGACTTTTCTCATGATTTCTTATTTAAAATATAAATTTAAAAATAAACTTGAAGTAAACAAATCTATAATTGACAGACTATGAATGAACTATAAAATATTGATTTTCACAATGAAAAGACATTTATATTTATTTTCTTTATTTATGAAATACTTATCCAATTTTGTACGACATATCTCGGAATATCTCAGATTTGATAACATATCCACATGTTATGAAAATAAAATACTTTTATTCACGCATTTAGTATTCAAAACATAGTAACATATCTATAATTTTTATTCATAATTACAGGNAATTTTGTACGACATATCTCGGAATATCTCAGATTTGATAACATATCCACATGTTATGAAAATAAAATACTTTTATTCACGCATTTAGTATTCAAAACATAGTAACATATCTATAATTTTTATTCATAATTACAGGTCGTTCAAGAATATGAAAGGGCTGTCATATTTCGATTAGGTATGAGATTCAAGAATATTCTGTTATATTCTATTCAAAGTTAAATTGTTTGCATTTAATACAGTAAATATGTTAAACAGATAGATATTTTTAATTAAAAATTAATTAATATATAGAACTGTATAAATATACAAAGAAAAAGCTTATATTAATGTTTTGCAAATGAATCCTGATTAGATTGATTTCGAAATATTTCAATATAGAAATATTGTGTGTTAGAAAGTCTAAAATAAATCAATATTAGAGACAAAATTAAGTGCAAAAAATATAAGTCAATTATAAATATCAATAATTGAAATAATTTTTTCGTTTCCATTTATATTTATTTCTTATATACTATTCATTATATCTTAAGGTCGACTCTCTGGAGGCGGCGCTAAAGGTACCGGTAATCAATATATTATACTTATATTTTATATTATCATATAATATTATATTTAATAAAATACCTCTGAAAGTTTTTATGTTTATTACTTATGGATAAATAGGACCCGGAATATTCTTCATCATTCCATGCATTGATTCCTATACTGTAGTTGACTTGAGAACCATCACATTTGACGTACCCGTGAGTTAAATTACCCTGAATATTGATTTCAAAGGTGAAAAATCTAAATGATACTTAATCTTACTTTACAGCCACAAGAGGTCCGATAACTAATTGCAGTTTCTAATCGAAATGTCCTTACCCCATAATGATCATATACTTATATTACCTATAATTGCTTTAAACATACAGGTGCTGACAAAAGATTCAGTGACAGTGAGCGTCGATGCCGTCATATATTATCGCATTTGGTTACCGACAAGTAAGTCAATTAAATATATCATATACTTATATTACCTATAATTGCTTTAAACATACAGGTGCTGACAAAAGATTCAGTGACAGTGAGCGTCGATGCCGTCATATATTATCGCATTTGGTTACCGACAAGTAAGTCAATTAAATATGAAATGTACAAATTCATTAAAAACAATTTATACTTAATTTGTATCTTTTGTTAATTAGTTGCCGTCGCAAACGTACAGGTAATCAAAAGGGACTTTTAATATAATTATTTTGCAATTTTTGCGACTAAATTAAAAGATATTTACGAAATTTAATTATAACTTACAATGAATATTTTTTGTGAGATATTAATGCAATATTTTTAAATATTAGTTTTTATTAATTAATATAATTAATTCAACAGTGCTTATTAAAAAATTAATTAATATAAAATTATGTACGCACCTACATTGTAACTAGGATTACGGCAAATCGACCCGGCTATTAGCCGCGGCCACTTTGCGCAACATTTTGGGCACTAAAACATTGGCCGATATTTTAAGCGAAAGGGAAAACATTAGTACA